CTTCCACATCCACACCGCCCCGCCAGGGGGCAGCACTGACCTCACTGTACAAATCAGTCCACTCACTGAATATTTATTGAACACCTGTGCTGGAGATGCGCAGTGAGTACATCAGAGTCCCTGCTGTCACGGCTCTCACATTTCAGGGGCAGGAGGCAGGCAATAAAAAATAAGTAAATGTGAGGGGGGAAGTGAACAAAAAAGTGGGTCTGTAGTATGTCAGACAGTGCTAAGTGCTACAGAGACGGGAAGAGGGCATGTGGGAAGGAAGGGGCACTGTATTAGCCAGGGGCCAGAGCAGGCCAGCAAATGGAGACTGAAGAAGTGGTGGAGGAGAACCCTGTGGGAACCTGGACAAAGGCGGCAGGAATGGCCAGTGCAAAGGCCCTGAGGCTGGAGCAGAAAGCAAGGAGGGGTTGGGGGTGCAGAATGGGTTGGAACACAAGGTAGAGGCAGTGGTGAAAACTCTGTCAGGCAGCCAGGAAGCTGCTGGAGGGGTCTGAGCAGACCAGGCATCATCTCAGCTGGGTTTAAAGAGAGGCGAGGTGAGCAGAGGCTGACCCCACCCCTCCTCACCTCGCAGCCCTGCTTCCTAAGAGCTTGGGACGGGACTCAGGCTTGTGAGGGCCTCTGGAAGCAGGTCTGCAACATAAATAGTCTCTGACTCTTAAGGAGGAAGAGAGGCTTGCCCGCTCTCCCACTCCCAGGCTGGTGCTGAACTGATTTAGGGCTGCTGTTACCAGTCAGTCCCACAGGACCGGCTGCTGGGCCTGATGGGAGGAGAGAGGCAGCCTAGGTAGAATTTTACCTCCTCCAATCTCTGCTTCCACCCCCTGACTCACCTTAGAAAACTTTTCCTTGTAAGGGAATGAACCTCCCACGGAGTGTATCCATCTCTGGGACAAGCTGAGGGGCCAGAATGGACACACCCCTGCCCCTCAGGGGCCTCTTCCCATTTATTCCACAAATATTTCCTGAGCTTCTCTTATGGGTTGGGCAGCTGAGCTAAGGGCCAGAGAGGGAGGGAGATAAATGTAATCTGACACACCACCCTGTCTGGCCTCATTTACTCACACACATACAGCACAAATACACACACAGCACAAACACACTCTAAACCCCCTGGGACCAATAGGCCTTCAGGCTGTTTCTCAGAGATGCTCAAATCCCTTCCACGCCTGGGGCTGCTGCACTTGCTGTCTCCTTGCCTCCATTTCCTCCTGGCTCCTGGGCACGTGTGGCCCTTCCCGGCCCCTGCGACTGCCCCAGGCCTTCTCAGCCTCCTCCAAGAGGCAGCACTTCTCACTCCCTGCAAGTGTCTGTGTGGGTTTCTCCACTGGGACACCGGTCCCTTGAAGGCAGGGCTGGTGCTGACTCCCACTGCCGTGTTTCCCGGTTCCCAGCACACATGGGGACTCACAAAGTACTTGTGGAAAGGAAAGACCAATGAGGAAGAGAAGGAAAGGAAGGCAGGAAGACCAAATCCCTGTTCTCAAGGCACTTAGAGCAGAGGCCACTCCAAGATAACTGTTCCTTCCGATGCCACGGGGCAGGTGGTGTCCAGAGAAGGTACCTGTGCCAGGGGGTGGTGACACAGTGCACAGGGGATTGGAGGCTCTACAGAGGAGAGGACAGGGTGCTGTACTGTAAAGGTGCTTACTAGGTGGATGGGGAGGGCAGGAAGGGAGAAACAAGAAGAGCACCCAGGCTGAGAACAGCGCATGCAAAAGTACAATGCAACGAGGCCTGGGGGCGCCTGTCTGGGGGCTGGGATGGAGAGTGGTCAGGTGTTGATGGTTGATCCCAGGGGACAGCCAGAGGGGACTGGATTTTGACATTCCAGGCTTGCTTTAAACCTGATGAGGGGCAATGTCTGTTTGTGTCAATGACCCACGCATGCTGAATGGTGGGAAAAGCCTGGGTAGGGAATGAAATCTCATGTCCAAGGGGGTCAGAGGTCCTACATTCAACGTTCTCTCACACCAGAGTCAAATTCCTGCCATATGAGATCTCACGGATGAAGGATGTAAAGGAGACTGTCCACAGTGTCTCCCTCTCACCCCGTCCCCCACTGACCACGCGGGGCCTCGATCCTGTGCATCTCCCTCTCTCTCCCACTGCCCGCTCTTGTCCTTCGTCCTCCTTTCAGGTTGACTGAGCACCTCCTACGAAACAGGTTCATTTAGGGGCCGAGAGAGGGGTGTGCTCAAGTGAAGAGGATGCACATGGGAAGTGGATGCGGGTGAGAGTGGGCAGAGAGTAGGAGAGACAAGAAACGACAGAGGGGCTGGAGCCAGGGGCCAGGGGAGCAGAGGACGGCACGGGGCTGAGCAGGCCAGACCACCGAGTCACATGGGCTGCAGCAGGGAGTTTTGCCCGTAACCTCAGACCAACGGGAAGCCACCCTGTGCTGCTGGGGTAGAGGGCGGATGCTGGAACAGAGGCTGGAGGTGGCCCAGCGCGGGTGCTGGGGAGCAGGCAGGAGGCGGCTGGCTGCAGGTGTTCAGACCAGAGGTGTCAGCAACATGGAGGGGATGGGGAGGGGGTATTTTTACGATGAAGGCGCAGGACTTGGTAAGGGGCTGGAAATGGGGGGAGAGGTACGGAGGTGACTCCGAAGTTTCTGGACAGGGGGCAGTGCCATTCCCAGACAGGCGAAGGCCGGAAGAGAAGCAGGGCTGGGCTTGGTTTCGGGCGGTTGTGTTGAGACTGTGAGGCACCCAAGAGGAGCAGCTCATGGCTGGCAGCTGGATGTACAGGTTTGGGGTGCAAAGCTTCACAAAACTGTTCAGATGCCCCCCTTTCCCTGCTCACGCCCCTCCCAGGCTGGGCGACACCCTCCCTTAGCTGTGTCCCTGGAGCAGCCTCACGGGCCGCTGTCTGGCAGAGTATTTACCAAAGCCACCATGGAAGTAGGCCAGGCGTGTGTCGTGGATGCTGAGCTGTGGACCCAGGTCGCTCACTCACACCCAGCTGCTGGGACCAGGGGAGGCTGGCAGATCCCAGCTGTGTCCCTTCTTGGGAAGCCTGTTTTGCCCAGGTTATGCCTACTGTCTGATACTGGTTGATGCCAAGGGTACCAAGACCCAGGCTCCTTGCCTCAGCTGGCAACCACTCTGAAGGGCCCCCCATCCCCTGTGGGACTGCAACAGCCTGCATCGCAGTTCAACTCCCCCTCTGCCCAACCCTGCTTTCCCCACGCCTCACAGACATTGTCCCTGAGAGTCCTGCCCCACCAGCCTCCTTCATGGACATCCCCAGCCCAGAGTCAGCTTCCTAGGGACCTAAGACAGTCTGTTCCTCCTCCATGACTGTGAGCTGCTGGAGCAGGACAGAGCCTCGGCATACCAAAGGCCATTGATAACTGCATTTTGAACAGCATGGGCAATCTGACTCCGCCCGGACTTCCCACAGTGGCCCTGAATCCACACTGGGCAGACCCAAGTCCCCGAAGCGTTAGGCAGGACAGAGAGCAAACTGAAGTGGGGAGGAGGAGGGAGACAGGTGTCAACCACTGACTCAGCCATCCCGAGCCAGTCCCGTCATCTTGCCAGGTGTTCCAGCACCACAGGAAACCCCGTGCTCACTCAGAAGGAGGGAAGTCCTGGAAATTTGTGTGCCGTCTCCACTCTCTGGGAAAGAAAGCCTTTGAAACTGTGCTTTCATCCCAAGGCCTGAAAGGCCAGAGAGGGCCCATCCTGCCCAAAGGAAAAAGCCCATTAACATCTTTGGGTATTCAGGCCGCCCCCACCCGCACCAAAAGCTGGCACCACCTTTACCTGTCAACCAATATGTAACTTCCTCACGCCCACCCTGCCAACTATGTAAGTCCCCAGCACAAGGACTCTCGGCTTGGCACTCTCGGCCCTCCGGCCGCCCGGCCTCAGGCCACACATGCGCTTGTCACTGAGGCTCTCACCGCCCCTGGCCTTCGGCCACCCTGACTCTCCCTGCCCTTACCCCACTTTGCACTGAACCTATGCCTTTCACCACTCCCCACACCTTAGCCAGGCCCGTTCTCTCCCATGAGAACGGATCACCAATAAACCCTGCTTGTACGCTGATAGACTCAATGATCTATAATTCTTTACTGCACTGGTGAGAAAAAAATGAGTTTCTGGGAGTTCCTCCCACAACAAAAGTACAATACATTCCTCAGACCACAGACCCCAATGCGAAATTCTGAACTGTGTTGCCATGGCCCTCGATTCCTGGGTCTTCACTCAACAGCTGAGCAGCTGGACCAGAGGGTCAGGGCTGGGCTGTGGAGCCAGGCGCCCGGGCGAGAACCTGCCCTGTCTGTGTGAGTGGGAGACGGTGCCTGTGCCGACTCTCCTCAGCCGTCAAGCTGGGGTGATGTCCCCCTGGCACTGTTCACGATGGCCAAGACCTGGAAGCAACCCGACTGTAGGGAGGAGCTCTGGAGACATTCTCTGAGTGAAAGAAGCCAGACACAAAAGGCTACATATTACTTCACTGCATTTATACGAAATGTCCCAAACAGGCAAATGCGCAGAGAAGGAAGTAGACGAGCGGTCCCCGGGGAGAGGGGAGTGACTGCAGGCGGGGCCAAGGGTTCCATCGGGGCGATATAAGTGTTCTGGGGTTAGACGGCGGTGATGGTTGCACCGCACTGTGAAGGCACTAAATGCTGCTTAATTGTACACTACACAACAGTGAAGTTTCTGTTGTGTAAGTTACATCTCCATACAAAAATGCAGGAAAGGGGTGAGAATGATTAAAAACATCATCTTATAAATGGAAAGTGCTTGTTAGACCACTGCCCGGCATATCGCACACACTCAGCAAAAGCCAGCAACCAGGGTGGTGCCGGCACAAAGCCCGAGCTCATGGTTGCCCAGACCAGCGCCCTGAGCCAACCCTGAGGCGTTTCATGCCGCAGAGCTAACACCCACCTGAAGTGCATGCAAAGACAAGAGGACATAACCTTTTTAAGGATGCGACTTCCCCTTTCCCTTGTAGGAAGTGGCTGAGCTGACCTGTTTCGGGGAGAGAGGCTGGGTGTGGGATCCGGTCTGCCTCCGGAGAAGGGCCCCCGACCGGCCCTCAGAACAGGCACCGGGCCGCTGACAGTCACAACCTCGGCTGTGCACCGACCGCGAACTCGACATTGCGGGTGGCAGGCGAAGACTGCTAACAAAGTTGGCCTGCATGGATATAAACGGTGCTTTTGTAAGGTCTCCACCAGTGTGTCTGTCATGAAGGGATGGCTTCGAGCTTGTGAGGAGGTGTAGGAAGAGACACAGGCCGAAGGGAGAAGCCAGGTGCACAGGCTGCAGGAGAGATGTATTTTGTGTTGAGGAGAGGAGGCAGTTGGAAGAATCTCTTCCAGCCCCTAAAGCAGCCTGTGTCCTCTCTGAATGCAGAACAGGAGCCCACGAGTTCCACCGTCTCTTGGCCTCCTGCTTGCCCCTTCCAACCCACAGCTCACCGGGGATTGCTCTAAGACACGGATCTCCGTAGCTGCCCTGGTTAAAAACCTGCGACAGCTGGCGGGCAAGGTGGCACAGGCACTCTGGGGGAGTCAGGTGGCAGCAGCCACCAAAACAAGACAAAGCCAATCCCTCCATGGCTCCGATGTACTCCGACCCAGCCATTCCACCCCTCGGAACCTACTGGAAGGGCACACACAGGGGCGTGAGGAGGAAGGTGCAAACCACTAACACCTTTCAGGTGGGAGATGGCTGCATAACCCTCGGTCTGTCCATACCATACTGTAAAGAGGTGTTTGTTTTTTTTTTAAAGATCTACATCTATTTGTGACACCGCGGATGGACCTTGTACAGTCCAGGGAGGTCTGGCAACTCACAAATTACGAAATCACATTACAGAACAACACATTCATTACGACCACATAGTGTTAAACACAACACTCCAAAAATGCCACCTGTGTTTCAGGGACGCACTCAGGCACACAGACGCATGGAAGAGGCCTGGAAGCATGCACACCAGGCTCGCGACAACGGTCACTGCTGCAGGGGAGACTGGGATCGGGGAGAGGAAGGAATAGCAAAAGGGATTGTAGCCTTATGTAGAAGGTTAAAATAATTTTCTTAAGGAAGCTCTTTTCATGTATTACTGTATAACTAACAACTCCCACTCACCCTCCCTCCCTTTTCAACAAAGAAAAAAACAAATCAATGACCCCACATCCCAAACAGACGCAGCCCGACGTGCCCCCCCCCCCAGTCCAGATGCCCGTGTGCAGCCGCCAGCGCCAGGTCTCGCCAGGTCGTACGCCAGATTCCCGACCCCCCTCCTACCACCTGCTCCCACTCTCCTTCCCACCTCAGGGACGGCCAAACTCTTCCTGGCTGTCCAGACCAAACTTAAAGTCCTTCTTGATTCCTCGTTGTCTCTCCCTTCTCTGCTGTACTTTTTACTTATTTGCTTAACATCTGCCTTTAACTCCTGGGATATAAGCTTCACATAAGCGTGGGTTTGTGTCTTGTATTCACTACAGAACCTACAGGGCCCAGGGCCCAGGGCCCTTGCTGCGTGAATGCCGGAATGAGCAGGGAAAGTTTTCTCCAATGGGCCCAGGTTGCGAAACCCGCCTCAGCGACCCCCAGCTGCCCCCATGCACACTCTTCACTTCTCTCACAGCGAACGACGGGCTGGCCCCTCCAACTCCGGTATGGGCTCATTTGTCTGCACCTGTTCTCACCCGCCTCGCCTTACCTATCCACCGTGTGGGCTTCAGTGTCACTTCCTCCTTGATGCTGTGGCCGATCCACTTCCCATGCTCTCTCTTGTCGGTGAGTTACAGACTTTCTGCTCTGGACTCCTGTAATTTCCCGTATTTTCAGAATTCATAAAGTCCTACCATTTACAGAATCAATTGCTCACTGCTGGCCACACGGGGTTGACATATTTGGCCTCATGGAGCTATCGCAAACACGGGTGAAGTGCATGTCATCATCCCCGTTGTACAGTGAGGGAGCTGCGGCGCAGAGTCCTTGGTGGCAAAGTGCAGAGCTGGAGTCTGAGCCTAGCTTCGCTGGACTCCGGAGTCCATGCTCATCCCCCTGAGTGCTCTCAGGCCCCTGCACAGAGCTGAGGGCTGTGCACTGGCCAGGGCTGCGGATTCCACCAAATCACCAGAAATAAGCAAGCTGACCACCCACGGATCTCAGAGCCCGGGTCTGGGGCTGCACCGTGGTGAAGGCACACAGTGGGTCCCTGAGCGCCCTGGCCCGAGGTGCCCCCAGCCCTCACGGACACCACTGCAGAAGGCATCCTGGGACAGTGCAGCCCCGCACACGGAGCAGAGTGTTAGTGATATGAGCTTCAGCCTCTGCCAAAACCGGGATGAAGTCCTAGCTCCTCTACTGTCTAGCTGTGTGAATGGAGCCTCCCTGTCCTTGAGCCTCCATGTGTAAAACATGCCGCTGGACTCTGGACATCGCCCTGTCCCATGGCCACAGGTCATGTCCAGTTTGACCCCACTGCTGCCCACAGATGGCTAGCCCAGGAGCAGGCACCTGCCCAAGCAAGGCCAAAAATCCTGGGGAACTTGGACTAAGAGGTTCAGGGAAGATCTGACGCCTCTCCTGAAAGGGGGAAAGGGAACTCGGGAGTAGCTGGTGGGAGATTTTCTGCCAGGAGAACTGGGAAACACAGAAAGCTGGTTTGTGCCAAGTGAGGGTGACACAGATGCTGACAGACACAAATGTAAGAGCCCCAGAGAGAGGAATTCTAGGGCCTCAGAGGGCCCCAGGAACCGGTTCACATTTCATAAAACTGCTCTTGACGTCCTAACACCCGACGCGTGGCTGCCCTTGGCTCCTGGGAAGCACCCACTCTTCAGACATAATATACTTCCCCTCCGACTAAAGCTAGATTGAGGTTCATTGTTTTTTTTAACTGTCCTAAGTAATACAAATACTTACTTGTTATAAGACATAAAACTAACACATGAAAAATGCTTACTCAGTGCCTGACCCACAGTAAAAACACCCAATGAAGGGTTGCTAATGTTATCATCGTAATCAAGCCACAGGGACGTGCTCCCACAGACACCAGAGAAATCAGTCATCTCAGTTACTCTCCCCGAAGGGTGGCATGCTGTGGGCTCTGTCCTTGATGCTGTCCCAGGCCGTAGTTTTATCAATGGCTGGATCTGGCTGTTGAAGGCTGTTATATTAATTCTGTGGATGAAATTCAGATGGCAGTCACACAGAATAAACTGAATGATGAAATCTGGGTTCAAATCAATGTCTACAGCCTAGAGATGGATTAAAACAGCCGGATCAAATGCATCACAGCCAAGGTACAGGTCCTATAGAAGGAGAGGCACTGGGAGAAAGGTCTGGCTCGAGGAAAGTCTGTGAGACAAAGACGGGGCTTGTGGCCGGAGTGCGCAGTGTGAGCCTACAGGGTGGTGTAGCCGTCAAAAGCTGCCACCACCCCAGCACAATCTCTAATTACCCACCGTATGTTAGAAATTGTGTCGGAACAAGAGAGAGGAAGGGAACTAACATGTTTTAGCGCCTACTGTATGCCAGGCCCCATGTTAAACACCTGACACACTGTTCCAGTTGACACTCTCATTAACCTACAAGGCATTATGATCGTTACTCTAGCTGACAGGTGAGGAAGCTGAGGTCTAGATAAGTGAAGGGATTCGACCAAGGCCGTAGAGAGCAGAGTTAGTGTTTGGACCCAGTCCCTTTAGAAAGTTTACCCCATCCCCATATTCTAAACTGATCAGTTCATAGTTGGAATACTCAGTTTGGTTATGACACAGTAGTTTGAGAGAAAAATTCACTTATCCAGATTAAGGTGACCAAGAAGGTGGAAACTCTAAAAGTCACCTTCAAGAATCAAGTTGGGAAGACCAAGAGCAAGTACACACACCAGCCTCTCCTACCCAAGTCCACAGAAATGACACCATTTAAAATCCTGAGAGCATGTAAAAATAAGGAGGGTGCCATCAGCAGATCACAAATGTTGAGAAATCCCTGAAAAGTGGACGGCAAACAGAAGTGGACGGTGAAAAGAAACCAGCCAAGCCAGAGTTCGGCAGGACTGCTGTGAATGGGGGCGGTGGTGGTGGGCTGCTCCGAACACACAGGCAGCACATTCTCAGGGGACGAGAGGACCTGAGGCCACATGTCAGACGCTGATTGATGACTCCTGTGGGGACACCAGGAGGCCCCTCGGCCCACCCAGCTTGTGGGAGATGTGACTGGGGGTCTCTGAGATAGAAAGGCAAAACACATGCAGAAGGAAACAGGAGATCCTGTGCTCAGAAGACAAACTGTCAGCACCACACCCCTTGCAGCAAGTTCTGCCCCGCTTCCCGCAGTCCCCGGCAGCAAATTAGAGTGAAAAGAACCAGCACTGACAGAGAAGAAAACAGGAGCTCACAGGACATAGAAGAGCACACATTCGCAAATCACCAAGCATTCTAGGAAACTCACACCATGGAAGAGAGGGGCCAACTCAGTAAACAGAAGAACTAACAAACAAAGAAACAGAGATAACAGTGCAAGCAGAGACATTTAAAGTATGTCTGATATTCTCAGAAAGATAAGAGAGGACACTGACTGCTTCAAATAAGAATAGCCCACTATAGGAAAGAATTCATTGGAAACCATAAATAAAAGATTTAATCATTGGAATAGAAAAATCAAAAACACTGAAGAACAGAATAGATGCAGATATAGAGAAAATTGGTAAGCTGGAAGGTTAGGCAGATGCATTTACCCAAAACACAGGAATAAGAACAAAGAGTACTGGCAAAAATATAAAAGCCTATTAATATCCAGGCTTTCCAGAGTCAGGCATTCTCAAATATTTTTGGTAGGAGTATAAATTACTAAGTTTTTCTTCTGAAGCTATTTTCGGAGTTCTCACCAAATGAGACAAACTGAAACCAGAAAAGCTGGTGTTCAGGCTGCCTGTCACCTATCGGACCCAAAAAGCAGAGACAGGGATTGAATCTTTACGGGCGCTTTATTCAGATGGCCAGCAATCTGAGAAGACAGTGGGTTTGTACCCTAACAGACTGTCTTAAATTCCATTTAAAAATGGCCCTTTTTATAAGAAGGACAAAGGGTAGGTAAGGAGGTTGGAATTCAGGAAAAAGTTCATTGGATTTAAAAGGAAAGCTGTAGCATTCCCGCCCTGGGCAGTGGTCTTTAGCTGTGTCCTAGGTGATGGTCATCTCACTCTGGAGGATAATGGCTCAGACACCATCTTGATTGCTTAAGACCTCCTGGAGCACAAAGGTGGAACTGCTTGTGGTCTCCTGGAGTCAGACTGGGTC